TGCTGCAAATTACCCAAAAGGTCCTGCTAAGGAAACTGACAACAGTGGCCACAACAGACAGCAGACTGTCTGTGTAGATCATATAGTCTTCTGTTGGAAGAATGTGGCATTTGCAGAGTAGCAGTCAATCCTGGCTTCAGTGCTTCAGAGAACAGGCAGACTCTCTTGTTGGGGACTAAGGCAGCTGGTGACTTAAGCTATGAAACCCCAAGGGCCTTAGGAATGACACTAAATCTACTCTGCCTGTGCGCCATAAATGGAACAGCAAAACGTGGGTGGCAGAACATCTGTTTACAATGTGGTTTATTGAATATTTTAGGCCCACTGTTCAGACTTAGAAAAAAATCCAGTTTCCTCTCAAAATACTGCTGCTCATTGACTATGCACCTAGTCACCCACGAGCACTGGTGGAGATGGACAGTGAGATCAACACTGTTCTTATACCTGCTAACATGGCATCCATTCTGAACTCATGATCAAGGAATAATTTTGATTTCTAAGTCTTTTTGCCTGAGAAATACATTTCATGTAGCCACATACATAGACAGTGGTTCTTCTGATGAAAACCTTCTGCAAAGGAATCCCCTTTCTAGGTGCCATCAAAAGCATTCATGACTCATGGGAAGAGGTCAAACTACAACAGTAACAGGAGTTTAGAAAAATGAGTCCAATTCTCAAGGATGACTGCAAGGAGTTCCAGACCTCAGTGGAGGAAGTCACTGCAGATGTGGTAGAAATAGTGAGAGAACTGGATTTAGAAGTAGAGTGTAAAGATGGGACTGAATTTTAACAGATGAAGAGAGACTTCTTATAGATGAGCACAAAAATTAAAAAAGAAAGAAAGTGGTTTCTTGAGAGAATCTACTCCTGGCAAAAATGCATTGAGATGAGAACAGAGGATTTGGAATATTTCATAAATTTCGATAAAGCAGCAGCAGGATTGAGAGGATTGACTCCAATTTTGAAAGAATTTCTGTTTCATCAGAAAGCACCACATGTATAGAAAAGTCACTCATGAAAGGAAGACTGTTATCGGTGTAGCAAACCTCTACATATGTACGTGTGGGAACAGCATAATGAAATCCACCAAGCACTGTTTGAAAAAGGAGGGTGGGAGGGGGTGATAGAAATATAATGGAGGGGGTGGACTTGTTCAAGGTACACTGTACTCCCATATGAATTATCACAATGGAATCCCCTTGCATTACTGGTATATTAGAATTCAAAAATAAAACAAATTTTTGAAAAAGAAAAGAAATTGTCCCAGTCACCCAATCGTGTTGCTTTCTCCAGTGACATATGAAAATGCTGTTCTTTAATGGAGATAAGGAAAACAATACATTTCTACAGAAATGTATTGTTACAGTGGCACATGATTTAAATTGAAAAGGAAGGAAGAAGGAAGTGAGGGAGGGAGGTGGGGGAGGGAAAGAAAGAAGGAACAGGAGGGAGGGAAAGAGGGAGAGAAAGAAGGAGCAGGAGGGAGGGAAGGGGAGGGAAGGAGAGAGAAAGAAAAAGAGGGAGGAAAGGAAGAAGGAAAGAAGGAAGAAAGGAAGGAAGAAGAAATAGAAAAGAAGGAAAGACTTAAATAAATACTATTGTCCATGTGACTTTGTACAATAGAAGATTAAGTGAATAAATTCCATACACAGATTCAGGGTCACTACTAGTCAAAGTCATAAGAGAAGAGTGATTTTCATCTAGAGTTATTGTCTTCAACTTAAATCTGGTCTCTGCTGTTTTAAGCCTCCTACCCATGTGACATGCTCTGACTGTGCAGATATGCTTAACTCAGGAACCCACAGAAGAGCGTTCTGTGGACATCTGTCTATATTCTGACATTTCCCTACTACCCCTTATCAAAAATTACTTACTTACAGTAGATCTCAGGTTTAGCTGTCTTTCCTAACTGGAAGGAATGGTCTGCTCTCTTCACTGATGGGTCTTAAGCACCTAGAATATACTCAGGCAGGTGGAACAAAGTATCAAATCCACCTATTCATGGAGTCAATAGCCACTACCAGTTAGTCAGGGTTCTCAGAGCCAGGGATGGCCAGCAGGAGTATTCTCTTTGCCCTACAGTGTTGTAAAATTTTTTTTTAAGTTGGGAACATCAATTTATCGCTTTCTACTTTCTCTTAAAATAGAGCAAGATCTGGTAAGGCCAAGTGCCTGCCCTCTCTTGAATGAGCAGAGCCTGCTTACCTCCCTGCCATTCATATTCACTTACTTACACAAAGACTTTCAGTCCCAGTACTGAAAAACAAGGAATCCAATTTCAGAACATGAAGATTCTTATACTCAGCCCCTAGTTACTTTATTTGTTGATGCTGCTAGAATTTGAGTTTATGACTGTAGTCTCTAAACATTTTTCTTTCCAGGTAATATATTTGAATTTGACTTAGATAGACTACTTTGAAAGCATAAAATATATAATGGCATGGCTGGAAATTTCATATGTGGTAAGAGAAATATTTTAGGCAGGTAGAACCTCTAAGTCAAGGAGGAGGAAGATGTCATTTCTGCCTATACACAGCCAGGCAGAAATAGGAAAAACTGAAGTCTCTAGTTATTCATGTTCTCCTTCAGGCTTGGAGTTCCGCAGTGTTCTTATCTCTTAATAGCACCTCATTGTACATCTGGATATTTTTCCAAGTCACCATATTCATAGAGCTATTGAAAAGTCTTAGCTACTGTTTAACTCAGGTTGAATAGAGTATATCTTACCACTAAATTCATATGCAGTGACAGCTTGGCCACAGTCGACTTAGCACAGCATGGAAGTAGCCAGTTGGAAACCATCTGGTGACAGGCAACAACAGAGGTGCTCCAGGAAGATCACTCAGGACCTAAAGGAATTTTTCTTCCATTTAGCCAGCCACACAATTTAAAATCACTGGACAAGAACAAATTAATAGGGCTGGTGGAGTGGCTCAAGCAGTAAGTGTGCCTGCCTAGCAAGAGTGAAGCCCTGAGTTCGAGCTCCAGTGCTGCCAGAAACGAAAAAAGAATGAATCACTAATTTGTTTTACCTTCAAGGAACTTGGGAGCCTATAGGAGACACAGGCCATTTTCCAGTATCTGATTGGCTAAGCTCCAGACCAATTCACAGAGAATTCTGCTAGGAGTATGGGGCGGGGCGGGAGGGGGGGGGAGTGAGGGGGAGGGGAGCATCACTATGACTTAACCCTACTTAAAAAGATGTTCTTATCAAGCCAAATCATTTTAATATTTAAAAAATAATTTTAATAGTTGAAACTTGGTGCATTTAGAGATAGTAATGTATAATTTTATCCTCACAGCGTTCAGCTTATGTTCATGTTCTAAATATTAAGTTTTATGCTTAGGAAAACAGCTCTCTCTTTTCAAATAATCCTTATCCAATATATCTTAATCTAAAATGGTCTATACAGGCACATCTCTATACTTAGGGTTATCACAGAGAGCAAAGCAAATGAGGTTGCTGCTCTTGTGGCACTTACGTTAGCTTGTCACATATTAGACAAATGCGTGAAGGCATAGCCTGTCAGGTAGGTGAAGGCTTTGGAGGAAAAAGCTAGTCAAAGGGGCAGAGACCATAAGGGGCTGGAGAATAAGAAGTGGTAAGAGAACCTTTCCTTTAGTGAGGGCAGAGAAGGTGGCATTTGGCTGAGACTTGAGTGCACAAGGAAGGTAGAGGTGCAGAGACTGGGTGGGGCACTCCAGGGAGCAACTGTATGAAGATACTCATGTGCACACCCTCTGCATGCTCAAGCCAGGCAGACTGGCACAACACAGGGGAGGAATGATCCCAAGAAAGAGGAGGTGGTATCTCCAAGGAGTCAGGGAGCAGACTTGTATCAGTTTAATATCTGCTACGTCCTTTATCGGAGGACAATATATTAAGTGGATTTTTGGAACAGGGAGATGGAATAGGAGCTTGATCTCTCTAATCCAGGCATTGACCTGGTATTGCAGTACCTCCAGGAGCAGTGCACAAAAAAAAAAAGAAAAAAAATGCTAATATACCTATACTCTCTAATACCCATCACAGAGTATCACAACAGAAACCTCACATGGGACGGATTTTTTTTTATTCATTCGTTTTGCTTCATTATAACCTTAAACTGAATTTACATGCATAATCATGTAGATTATGTTATAACTTCCTTCTTTTCCAGACATTTTAAAACTATAAACTATGTACATAAATATATTATCTTCAAATTAAGGGGGAAAATATGTAAAAGAAATACCCCAAAATGAAACTTTCTTTTTTTTTTTTTGGCAGTACTAGGGTTTGAACTCAGGGCTTCACACTTGCTAGGAAGGTGCTCTATAGCTTGAGCCATATCTCCAGCTGTGAAACCTTATTAAACAAATCCTGTAGAGCATCTGTAGATTCACAATGTATCTCAATCTGTAGATTCACAATGTATCTCAGTGTTGTTGATTTCCTTAATGATCTTATGTGGGGTTTTTTTCAATGCATTTAAAAACATTGTTCTGAGAAAGAAGTCCATAGGCTTCCTGAGATGGCCAAAAGAGTCGTGAGTGTGAGGTGGTGTGTGCAAGGATGCTTCTGAACTTATTTGAATACCAGCAGAACTGCTACAGATACTGGATTTGTTTTGTTGGGGCAAGAGAGAGCATAATATGTACTTGCCAAGGCTCCCAAGGAATCCAGCTATAGCTCGGGGTGACCACATCTGCCAATCTACCCAGAATTATTCCACTTTATATCTTTGTCCAGATATAATTATTAACATCATTCCCTTCTGCTCTTAAACGTGTCCTGGAGGAAACTCAAACAAATTTGGCCACTGTTAGCTGTAACTGTTTTCAAGGAGGCAGTGTGACTAACGTCACAAATTAAGTGCTATCTCCAGGGTGTGTGGTAGGAGCTTGCAAACCCCAAACCCAGACATCTTGTAATAATGAATGAGTATAATCAGTGCCATAAGATTACCCAAGGAATATGTAAGAAAATAGATTTAATCAAAATTATTTCTCTTTCACAGCCAAAAAAGAGCATAAAATGGAAGAAGGTCACTTGGAGAAAGCACAGAAAAGGTAAGTAGCTGCTGTCTTTATTATTATCATCATCGTCAAGTGCATTCCCACCACTGTGGAGTGAGGGACAGTGCCATCCCTTTCAGCACTATAACTAGATCCAACCAATTATTGCAAACAGTTGGGAGGCTTACTGTGTCTTTCCTCAGATGTCAGAGGGTATTGTAGACAAGTGACAGGTGGGGAGAAGGGAACTTGGCTCTGCACATAGAAGATCCCCTACCCCAGATGTTGGAAAAGATCTCAGAGGTCTCTTGTTCAGCCTGGTGCCCCTTCGTGGCTCCTCCCTGTCTCAGTAGCTACCAGCATGGAACCCTCCATGCCGCCCAGTACAACCCAGCAATCATCAATCCTGCTCCCTGGGGGATTTCTTTTTGTTAGTTAATCAGGTTAGTCAGCCTGACCATCCCTCCCTAGTAGAAGTATGATAGGAAATACACCAATATCCAGGTACATTCTACTGCTACCAAATCTAAAATTACTAGAAAATTAAATGAGAAGGTAAGGGTAGGAAACAGCACATAAGGAAAAAATGTAAGGAGAAGAGTCTTAAAGTTAATGTATTCAAGTGCAAATGAACAAATTAGAAATGAGCAACTTTCCTTCTGTTTGTCCACAATTTTCGAGAGTTCTGAAAGCCCACAGACAATGCTGTCTGCCCCACTCTGATGGGTGCCAACACCTTGCCTGCTTCCCACTGTAACAGCCAACAGAATTAAGATGCTGATGAAAGCAAGGTAAAGACGAGTCTTGTCATTTTCTGTGTGCAGACATGTTCTTGAGTCATGAATATCTTCCTATCATAATAATTTTTGAAAACTTAGACAATCACATGGTGATCTTTTTAGATTTCTGTGCCCCTCTTTTGGCCTTACCTCTTTGTGCAAAGTGTAAAATTAGTGTGTGCCTGTGTTACAGAAATATTCAGCATGTAAAGAAGGAGACCACCAGCAAGCTACACCGGCACCAAACCAAACAGAAATGCAGTTTCTGGGGTAGATGTCAAATTTCCAATCCTTTTTTAAAACTTTTGCTGAAGGGACAGGGGGCCACCTTACAGAGGACGAAGCTGTTGCTATGTGTTAGCCATGCCAAGAGGAGTCGTAAATTTTGATTGTCAGCGTTTTCCGTGGCTTTGTGGTGAAGGTATTCTAGCTTTCATGTCATACATGAAATATGTTAGATCCCATCTTTAATGTAGAAACCACAGCTGTTTGGTTAGACTCTTTAAGGAGGTTGTGGTTGGTGTCGCAATATTCGTGTGAGACTTGGTAAATTCTCATGTTTTATTCTCAAGAGAAACAGTTTACTCTGAGGCTAAGGAATATTTGCTTTTCCTAAGCAGTTTCTGAAGGCGTGCATGAAACACAATAAGTGGGTAGGTTCCGCTTCGGCATCCCAGCACTGTGAGAAAAAAAGTAGAGCATTGGACTTTGCTATGGGCTCTTTGATGTAGCCATTGTCTGTATTTTATAAATGTTTGGCCAAATTAAACAGATGCAGATCAGGCAAGGAATTATTAAGCAGAGAGAAAAGGAGTTGGGCACTAGTTTAGGATGAAATTTTAAAAGGTGTATAAAACAAAGCATATGGTTAGAAATCAGTCTTTTTAAAGTTGGCTATGACCTTAGAGTTAGCTGCTGACAATTAGAATTTCTAAGCCCATAATTGACCCTTTGTTTCCTGTTTCTGGCAGAAAATTCTCCTGGTGGCTAAATATCAGCAGTTTTCTTACCCAAATTTCAGGAGGTTTTCCACGAAGTCTTCTGCGGATCAAAACAATTCAAAGTGAAGAGAGTTTTGTCTGGGGAGAACAGCAGTGTAGACAGTTACAGACAGTTGAAGGCTCATAGACCCATTCTTACAGTGGCTTCATCTTTGTCAGAGCTGCAGAATGCCGATGCCAAGCTGTGCTCTCTTCAAGGGACTCCATATGGTTCTTTGGAGCGGGCTCATTTGCTTATTGGGTTTCCGAAAACACTTAGCAAAACAATGCTGAAATTCGGTGTTTCTCCCAGTTTTCACCCCCTTTAGGAGAGGTAAGCAAGCCTCAGGGAAGAAGACAGCACTAGAAAGGAGTAGCCCCAGGGTGGTGGCATGCTGCTGTCAGGCTCAATGATAACCACTGCACCACTATTTCCACTGTCTCTACCTTGCAGTCAGGACTCCAGACAGCGCCAGAGGTGCTGGGCTGATCTTAAGTGCATGATGAGTCCTTATCCTGCTGTTAAATAGGAAGGCATTTTTCCTTTGAACACAAAAAGTGAATAGCTTTCTTTTCTCTATGAATACACAAATTTGTAACTGCATAGAAGGTAAGCATATGGAAAAGGGAAAATGGCCGATGTGCCCTCCTGGGGGAAGTTCATGCTGTGTGTGACACAGAGGGCAGCAGTGAATGGAGTAGAAACAAGAGGAAATGACTGTTTCACTTCTTAAGTTCCTGTGTCTGAGAGTGTGAGCAACAGAAGGGAAGAGTAGAAGGAGCATTTCACAGGGAACCCGGAGTCCTTATTTCTAGGCCCAACTCTGCCAATGAATGAAGTCATTCAGTCATTCCAGGCCTCTGGTTATGCATCTATAAAATGAGACTATTGGAAAAGTCAGACTTTCAGTTCTTCCAATTCTACGGTCCTGTAACTCTATAGAAAGCTCCCAGGCTGTCCTGTAGACTATATAGCTCTCTCCATATGTGTGTCAGTGCTATAATCACTACAAGTTCCATTTTGAATGAAAGAAAGATGCATTCTGTAGAGGGCCTATTTGGTTTTATCACTGTTTTGACTGCCAGAGAATTAAGTATGATGTCTGGGGCAAGAGCTCGCTTTGCTTTTTTCTTTGATTGCTGGTTTCGCTCCAGAATATGTATGTTTGGAATTCTCAGTGAGACCTTAAAGAGATTACTGCAGTTGTTGCCTTTCTCCACTTACACACTTCTAGTCTTTTAATAACTGGGGGCCAAACTTCCCTGACCAGTAGTTTTAATTTGCATTAAAAACAGATTTGTTATTTACAGAAGCACAAAAAAATTTATGGGACTCAGAGCTGCAGCTCCAGCTTGGATCTCACCTAATCGTAGCCATGGAATCAATTAACAGTTCATCTGTGAAATGTGATAAAATCTTATGAGATACATATTGCCCAATAACTGAGGAAGAGATGAAAGTATGCCCCATAATAGTAGCAGGGCTTTGGGGTTTTACTATCGCCATTGAATGGAGTTCCATTAGAAACTCAGTATTCAGGATGGCCACAAAAACACACCATGTCTGAACAGATGATAGAGCATTGAGTAATAAACCTAGCTGGTCATTCTTGCTTTGATTAGTTTCCAACACCCTAGAAAAGGGGACTATTTAAGTGTTCTTGCTCATGGCAAATGAGCTTGTGAGGCTTGGGGTGGGTGAGGGTGAGGGGAAAAGATTGAATTCAGAGCTATAAATTGCTGCGAAGCCAGTGCCTCCAAGAAGGGCTGCTTGGGAGGCCCGGGTAGTCTGGTGTTGAGGGAGCTTTTGTGGGGCAGGTCATAGTGATATCTGGGAACCTACTTTGGAAAACCTGAGTTCTTTTCTAACCAGCTTAGAGGTTATTTTTCAGGATCAGAGATAGTTTTCCATCTAAGTCTTGCTAGACTCATATCCACTTGTTTGTTGGTAGTTTATGTGCTTATATCATATCAAGCTTTAAAATGTAGGTCTCTTAAAAATCATATAGTCCAAGTCTCTTATTTCACTCTTGCGAAAACTGAGAGTAGAGATGGTGAGTGATAGACCCAAGGGCCAGAGTATGGTCGAATGCAGGTAGAACTGATTTTCCTGACTTCCCATGAAAGATTCGACAGATGGATTGTTCCCAGTGGGCTGTCTAACTGGCCACCTCCAGTGCTACAGAGTCAATATGTCATCAGCCCTACATGTAATCATTCAACATAAAATGAAGAGCAGATAAATGACCTTGATTTGACATGATGAACAAACTCAAGCTGTTCAACCTACATCCCCCTGGGATTATGCATGCTGGTTTTCAAACAAACAAACAACCAAAAAAAAGAGATGTGCCCTGAAGTTTCCCCAACCAAGTTACATTTCTTGGCAAATTAGGTGAGGCTTCAATAAGGTTTTGGAGCATAGGACATTCCACAGCAACTATGAGGCCAGGCTCCTATGTCAGAGGACAGATGTGAGAAGCTGTCCTCAGTGTTGTCCTCCTACTTACTCTAATGGGTTTTGGTGTTGACAGTTTCTCCCAATCTCTCTCCTTTTTCCCCCACTACCTGTTGCAGTTTTGAAACAACAGTGGGATATTTTGGGATAAAGCCAAAAGCTGGTGAGAAGGAGATTGCACCCAGCTACGTGTTTATGGTATGGTACGAGTTCTGCAGTGACTTCAAGACGATATGGAAACGTGAGAGTAAAAACATATCTAAAGAAAGGTAAGGTTCTAATAGAGGCATTTGGAACTCCTTCAGGAGTCTAGGGAACCCAGAAAGTGAGTCTACTTCACAAGTGTCGATGTTTTCTCTGGGATCAAGTGGACGTCCAGGAAGGATTATTGCCTCAGGGTTCCTAGGGAATTCGGGGAAAGCTTGCTGTCCACACAGGCAGATACACTCTCACAATCTGATAAGTTACACGTTCTTAACCCCTTCCAATTACTTGCTAGTAAATGAAAGGGGACTTGTGCTAATTTGCAACAGATTGCTTCTCTGTGTATTTTCATGTTGGCCTACACTAAATGAGGCAGCCTCGCTGTCGCAGACAGTGCAGACAAATAAAAGTGAATGCTTTTCCCATTAGCACACTGAACTTGCATCAAAGGGAGCTCTCCAAGACTAAGGCCACACTTCACACAGTGTTGAAGCCCCGCTGGATTTACAGCGTCACTTCTGAGTCCCTTACGTATCCTGCTGAGGACATCAAACTGCAAGCCGCTCAGCCTGCTTGCAGCCTCTGATTTTATTAGTTGGAGGCAGAAGAATACAATCAGCTCCTAATACAGGCTGTGTGTGTGTGTGTGTGTGTGTGTGTGTGTGTGTGTGCGCGCTAGCATACGCGTTCCTTCTTCTCAGGGAAGCTGACATTGCCCCAGTGTATCAGAAGGAAAGCATTTCTGCATGATTGTTGTCGTTGGGTTATCACTGCTCCAAAAATGGTGTCATGGATTTAGACTTCAAACAGATCTTGCCACTAATTCCACAGGGACAGCTGTATGAGACTGTCATTCAAAATGATGGGGAAGCAGGCAGAAAGTTCTAAAAAATCAGGCAGACTGTTAAATCACAGCATCTGTATCTCACTAAATATCAAGACCTAAAAAGTGTGTGCCCTTCAGTTTGTACGAAAAGTTATATGCGTGCAACCTGATACAATTTACTTGAAATACTGTTTTTAAGATCAAAATTTAGAGATTGTAATCTAGTGTAACTGAGTCTCTAAATATTTTTCAAAGAATTTTTAAAGCCTTTCTTTTCAAGGAAATTAAAAAAATCTTAAGAATGTTTTTCTAAATATTGTCCCATCTTTACCTTTTTGGGAACATGGGAATTAAACTGAGTGTGTTCAAGCTGGTTTTGGTGGCACACCTGTAATCCCAGCACTTGCGAGGCTGAGGCAGGAGAGTCATGAGTTTCAGTTCAGCCTGGGCCACATTGCGAAACCCTGATTCAAAAACCCAAACAAAGAAAACAACCTGAGTGTATTCATCATAGATAAACTAAAGCAAAGTCTAAAGCACAGCAGGATAATTATGGCTGACAAAAGTTAATTGTATATTTCAAAAGAGCTACTAGAGAGGATTTTCTTTGAGGCGTTACCCTGAGTAGTTACCACGACCCTCTCATTACACATTCATGTATACATGAATGAAATGTCACACCACACCCCACAAATATGTGCAATTATGTGTCAATTAAAAACTAAAAGGTAAAGTCACATTGTTAAGAAAATAGTCTGACCATATCATGAAAAAAATCTTGGCACCCAACACATCACTCTGACCCTGTGACTGCCGATTAGCCCCTTTAAAGAAAGCTAAAATTAGCTTCCACAGAATAAATTGCCATGTGAGAGTGGCAGAGTGGAGCTCTTCCTCCTGTCATAAGAGGAGCCTCTAGTCAGTTGGCTCTCCACAGCCACACCAGAACACTGGGAACCCAGCAGCGAGTTCTGAAGGAACTTTAGGCATCTCCACCTCACTCCCTTAGCGAACATGTCCTTGGAGACCTAGAAATGGCCCCAAACCAAAAACCAGCTGACAGGATAACGAATTACTTTTCATTTTAATGATCTTCTGTTGAAATACTGTTCCAAGTTAAGAAGCTGTCCCTATCACAGAAGTTAGCTCAAACCAGTTGTGGCTCTGCCATGATGGAGCCCAGACGTACTTCAGCACTGGTTTTTGCGGCATTGCTTCCTGGGTGCACTTGGTAAATTACCCGCTTGGCACTCTGTGAAGAGCCATGACTACCCCAGGCCCCGGCAGCATCACTCAGCACTTCTGGGCTCTCTTCACTGCCACCATGCTTTAGGACCTGGACTGCCACCAAGTTTCCAGCCCAAAACAGCATCACTGAAAGTTAATAATGGCTCACAAAATGTTTTGCAAGCAACTGGTTTAGAAAAATCTGTTTGTTAAAAAATTTTGGTATATTACCATTCAACTAGTTAAACCCATTATTATCCAGGGTTTTCTTGTGAAGTGAGGGTTTTTTAAAAAATTGTCTTCTATCTGCTAAAGAATTTTAGCTTTTAAACTGTTAAAATTGTATACTTCATTCAGTGCCACCAAAAAATTACATATTCATTCGGTAAAATAAGCAAATTAACTTAAATATTTGTTACTTTGTTTTGACATTTATTTAATGATATTCAATATTATAGCTTTTGATTATACTTTTCCCAGAAATCCATTAACTCTTAATAACTCTAAATGTTAAGAGGTAAAATAACATCACTAACAGTAGAAAGACATTCTAAAAACAAAAAAACAAAAACAAATCCATAATCAAATAAAAACTAGTTATCTTATAACTCGTAGAGAAAAGACAAAAACTATACCTTGGGATCCCATTAGAAGAAACTTAAGGCACTTGAGGCCAACTGAAACCATGCAGGATGTCAGTGGAAAAATTGATCAATGACAGTATTTGCAAAGAGGCAGACCCTAGGGTATGGTGTTTGTTTAAATTCTGCTTCCAAATGAAATGCAAGTACTGGGAGCATTTTAGGTCACTTATGGTTAATTTTATATCATAGAGAATATCTGCTTGTCTTTTCTGCTTAGCATGGTTTTTGTGAATACCCATTAGCTTGGTGCAAAGTTGAGATGGACGTAACGCTGTAACAAGGTAACAGCTGTCTTTCATAAAGTCAGGAGCAATCTCTAAGCACACAAATGACTATATGTAAATCCCTCATCAGTAAACAATAAACCTTATCATTAAACTGGTATCAGACACAAGTTCACAGTTAAGTAGAAGAGATACAGCATGAAGAGCAAGTTACTACATGATGGCATATCAATGACATTTCCCTTGGCATTTACATCTGTTAGGCAAAAGAGCAAACTTCCATCTCCAAGCACAAACCCAGAAGCCCACTCCCTAGTCCTTCAGTCTGTGCTCACCCAGTCTTTGTGCTGCCCCTAGAGCACATTTTTTCCCTAGTGAAACCTACTGGTCCCTTCTCCCGTCTGAGTACAGGCAGTGCTCAGTAGAGTGAAAGAAACCTGTAGACACAGTCAAACCTCAGCATTTTTATTTCTGTGCTCTTAATTTGCTATGTGATCTTGGGCCAGACTCTTACTGCATAGGGCTCCAACAGTCTCTTCTGTAAAAGACGTTTAGTAAGATGAAGCAGGAGCTCCGCGTTGGCCCTGCTCTCTGTAGTTTGACCTCACTGTGAATCTGTGAACCTGGAGATGACTTTGCTAACATTCTGAGAACCTGGATGCTTCTTTCTTGAGATCATGACCCTCATCTCTGCTCTTGATGAGCTCGTTAGGGACTGAAGTGGAAGTCATTTCAAGCCAAGTTCTAGCAGGTGACTGAGGGTGAGACTGGAGAAAAAGAGGAGTTGTCATTGCCTTCTTGAAGTTGGCAAATGTCTACTGTTACGTTGTCTCACACCCCTTCTTCTTCTTGTAAAATATGAATGTTTGTGTGGAAGATCACATTTTTAAAATTGAGAATGTACACACACAATATATAGATATAGATACAGTTTTAACATTTTCCTGTACTTAGCACTACCCAACTTTGCATTTAGTGGATTTCTATAGTTCATCAAGACTATATTTTGTCCTCAAAGGCAGTAGCAGATAATATGCATAACTGTAAGGATCACTACTACCTTTATAACTTATTCACTCATTTTCTGCCTTTGAGGGGGACTATTTATTGCTCTGAGCAATGGGACCCTGACTTGTAAGGTATTTTACCATTCAGAATACCTTAAGATGCTCACACTTATGCCCGCATGTACCCGCAAAAATCTCTGCCACTATAAAGTGAGCTACAAATTTGCAGAAGGTGAAGAAGGCCCAAAGGAGCCATGACCCCAGGAATAAAATCTGGGCAAATAATTCACTCTGAGCCAAAGCAAACTCTAAAAGTGTCAGGCAGCAGTGGCTCACGCCTGTAATCCTGGCTACTCAGGAGGCAGAGATCAGGAAGACTGCAATTCGAAGCCAGCCCCAAGCAAATATTTTGAAAGGCCCTACCTTGGAAAAACAACAAAGGGAAAGTTAATTTCTTTCCTGTGTAACTGTCTGGATGCAAGGAGTTCAGATGTCAGGGACCCCATTTCCTTCTCTTTTGTAGCTGCTGTTCTTGCCGCATGATCCTTACAAGGTTGAGGGTGGCTCATGTCATGTCCACCTCTGCTGCCACTACCTGCTTCCTGCCAGTAAGCAGGGAGGGGACACCCTGTCTGTCCCATCAGCGGCCTGGGCTGGAAGGCGCATACATCCTTTCCACCCTCAGCCCATTAGGCACAACTTAGTCTCACAGACAAACGTGAGGGAGGCCAAGAAATGCAGGTGTAGCTGGGAACCATGCGTCCAGTGAAAGTGTGGTGGGTCGTATCACTAAAGGAAGCAGGAGAAATGAACGTTAAACCACTGGCAGATTTGCCCATTTCCTACTTGAGAAATAAAAGCTATTCGCTACTGCTAGCTTTTAATACTAGGGATAGTGTGTTCTGTCTAGAAAAGCCTCACGGCTCTTGTAGTGAGTGTGCTGAGTCTCTTTCTGTAGAGGTGACTTCTCCTCCATCTCCTCCCTTAGCTCCTCTTTCTCTTGTATTCCTTAAGTGGGACCTTTTCCAAAGATAGGGTCTCAGGGCTCCTCTTCTGTACTCTGTACTCTTCCCACTAGTCCCAACTGTGTTCACAGCTTTGCCTATCACCTGTTTACCAAAGTTCCTTGAGTCTCCCTGCCCAGAACTGACCTCTTTTCTAAGCTTTAAGCCTAAATCTCCTATTGCACAGGAGGCTATTTCCAAAGGAGTCTCAGCCTTCATCTGCAAGGTCCAGTTTTCCATCTCTTGCTGACTCATCGCACTCTCGCCTCCTCATTGATGATTCTTCTCCAGCTTGTATTTGCAGTAGCTCTGCTCAGATTCAAGAGCTCATCACTCCATACCTGGATTATTGAGACATCCCTCTCACTATTCTCTCTGCCTGTGGGTTTTCTCTTTCCTCTTTGATGCACTTATCTTTCAGAACAGAAATTCGATCACATCTATCTGTCTCTTCAGACATATTCTGTTGTTTCCCATCGGTCATGAAATATGGAACAAGAACTATTCATGCCTCATACTTTCACTCATTAACTTTTGGGGTCTTCCACAGAGCCCTTAAAAGGAAGGTTTATTACTATAATACAGATAATCACGAGAGAGTGAATGAATTGCCAGTTCACAGTTTCATTATTAACAGAATGAGGATAAGAAGTT